AAAACATTTACGCGAAACAGAATATTTCATTGGTTTCATACTCGCCTCGAAAGTCTCAGAAACCTTTTAGAATTATGTCCTCTGCGATAACCTTGTGGTACTCACGGTGGTTGAATTCAAAAGGACTCGGAAACCAGTGTTGGCGGTTGTAGAATAAAACTTGCACGTGCGCATTAGGGCTCCTGCACGCAGAACGCGGCAACGCTTGCCGCGCGGCGACGCAGCAGCCAATCAACGGGAAGCACCCAATTCGACACAGCACGATTCGACACAACCAACCGATGTAAAGCATTATTTGCTGAATTACCAGACTCAACCAATCATTTACTTTGTGTCCAATCGTGCTGTGTCGAACAGATACGCACCCCCAATCAACGTATAAATGTTAATGTAATAAATTAATGTAATAATGTAAATAAATTATTAAGTGTTGAGATAAAAAGTCGCCAAAACTTATTTTTCTTTTGTGTATTTATTTTTTATTAAATATATACGATTATGAATTAAATATTAGATATTGAACGACTAGATTTTAATATAATATAAATTTGCCTCATCACGCCATGCACGACAAGATTTGTTCTGTTATTTGCGTAAATTTTATGTTTCATGCCAGAGCAAACCTTACCCTGTTCTTTTTGTCACAAATTTGTTATCACGCCGTGAACGGCAAGGCTTGCTCTATTATTTGCATGAATATTGTGTCTCGTCGTACCAGAGCAAACTTTGCTCTGTTTTTTTTCGTAAATTGTCTATCATACCGTGAATGGCAAGATTTGATCTGCTTTTGTCGCAAAATTGCTATTGTATCGTGCATAACAAGATTTGCTATTATTGACATAAAATTTGTGTTTCACCGTGATAGCATCATTTGCTTTGTTCTATGTATAAAATTTACGAACAAGCCTTTCCCTGTTATTTGTAGTATCATGTGACGAAAAGTTTTGCCGTAAATTTGCTTGAAATATTTAGTCAAGACGAAGCGAGACAAATGTTTGCCACTAAATTGATATTACAATTGAAGCAAACTTTGCCGCAAAGCTTCATCGAAACGTGGTTTTAGCACTCTTGGCTATCTGGGTATATGCTTTTTCTTTTTGAAGTAACATAATTCTACAGGATTTTGATATTTACCGGCGTGCATATTTATATATCCGCTTTTAAACCAAACATATTGGAAAAGATTTTTTAATCTAGGCGAAGAAAACTGATTATGGATTAATGATTGCAATTTAATTATTTCGTTACGAGAATGCAAATTGACATTTTTCTCTTGAAAAATTACATTGTCTGAAAATGTTCGCACCAAATTTTTCCAAATCCGGAATCCGAACACATCAAAACACGTTGAATGAGGCCTATCGTCTTTTTTGGAATGATTGGAAATTATATTGCTTTATCTTCCTTAAGTATCTTTCCTGATTTTGATGCTTGAATGTAAATGTTATCTGTACGGAGTTCTTGAACTTTTGGACTAAATGTTCCTGTGAACTCCTTCAAAACTATAAATAGTGGTGAAAAGTGGTGGAGTAGTAGTAGAAAAAAAACGTCCGCTTGCCGAAATAATAAGCATTATAACTATGTATGATAGAAGATAACGATTGAACCGTTGTTTCCACTGTTTTAATTCCTGATCTCATCAATATTCGCCCGGAATGTATTTTAAAGTTGAAGCCACTCTCGTCTGCATTATAAGTTTCTTCAACTCCGATAGTTGAGATGTTAGACTTTACGTTTGAAACAAATAAATATTGCAATATTTGGTTAGGTGTTAATATCTTCAAGCATATATCGTATCTTGAATGTTGTTATTTTGCAGAAAACAATCCTGTGCACATTTTTAAATTTCCAAATCCGCCATTTACTTGTTTTGAATAATGAAAATGAATGTCAATTATGATTCGAATATATAAATCTATTCATCGACTACTATGTTGAAATAATTTTGACTACTTCGACGAGAATGTGAGATGTGATTAGATAACAATTGGCGTCCCTTCGATAGTAACTTGTAAGTTTTATATATCGTTTAATGCAAGCAAAATGTAAAACTTATAAGATCAACGTAATATTATGTTTTATATTTTTTTGTACTGAAGAAAGACCGAAATATCTATTATGATAGCTGTCCGTTAGATTGAAAATTCACCTCAACAATAATATGTTTTTCACATAAATACACCTTATATGCTCTTTTTTATCGTTTACTTGTTTTGAATTCGGGTAAATCCACGTGGTCCTCCACTTTGCCACCAAAACCTAAAATCTTAAATTCAAATCATTCAAAATAGATTTTCTATCAAAAGCTTCTTTAAACTTTTGCAGTACATATCCCATAATAAATGCTAATTTATCTATATTTGTTTCACCTCTTTCTATACTCTCTTCCCATCTGTGTAACTGCTGTAAATTTTTAACCTTACGAAACTTGCTCTGTACGCTAATTAAAGCTTAGCGAGCCTTCATTCCACTTTTCCAAAACTCCACAGCTTTTCTCTTATAATTAAAGTCGATCTTCCCACCTTCCTCATCAACAATGCATTCTTCAGCTTCAGAACTGTCATCATCTTCTTCTCTTTCTGTAATATACTCTATAATTTGTACTCCATATGGCTCTGATGGATCAAGCACGTAATCATGTTCTAATAATAATGTCAAATGTATGTTCTGAAAATTTTGTAGAATGTCCCGAATTTCATTATAGATTTCAATTTCCAATGGTGTTATAGGTGTCTGTGTTATACTCGCAATTTGAAACGTAGTCATTAACATATTTATTACGTTTGCAACATTAATCGATGTTATTTTACAGAAAATTCTATCAAGCAATGATCACAAATTTTTAGAATCGTAACTGCTCACTGTCATATCAGGTGTAGTAAAAAGAAATCCATTATTTTTCCAATAGATGGCTTTAGTTATCTGTATCTCGCGTTGTATAAGTCCGATCGGGTTCCACTAGATGGCGTTAGAAAGATGAGATTTCGTACTAAAAAAACTTTTCTGACAGTTTTGTGATTAGTTGACTCAGTTTTGTTTGAGTGCGCGTCAAAGATGGACACTAGCAAAGAGAAAATACGCTATATTTTACAGTTTTTCTTCGATAAAGGCGAAAACGCAAGCCAGGCGGCTGAAAATGTGAATAGTGTTTATGGTCCTGATACTGTAACAGCCAATCACGCGCAATTTTGGTTTCGTCGATTCCGTTCCGGTAATTTCGTCAAAGGTCAAAGATGCACCACGCACTGGAAGGCCAATTGTCGAAAATATCGATAAAATCATGGACATTGTCGAGTCCGACCGTCATGTAAGCACTGTTTCGATTGCCCAACAGCTAAAGATTGCACAAAACACCGTTTGGAACCATTTGCATAAGGCTAGATACAAAAAGAAGCTCGATGTATGAGTGCCACACGAGTTAACGCAAAAAAACTTCATGGACCGAATTTCCATCTGCGAATCACTGCTGAATCGCAACAAAATCGACCCATTTCTGAAGCGGTTGGTCACTGGTGATGAAAAGTGGATCACTTACGACAACGTCAAACGAAAACGGTCGTGGTCGAATCGCGGTGAGCCGGCGGAAACGGTGGCCAAGCCAGGATTGACGGCCAGGAAGGTTTTGCTGTGTGTTTGGTGGGATTGGCAGGGAATTATCTACTATGAGCTGCTCCCCTACGGCAAAACTCTTAACTCGGAACTGTACTGTCAACAATTGGACCGTCTGAAGGAAGCAATCGCCCAGAAGCGGCCAGCTTTGGCCAATAGGAGAGGAATTGTGTTCCATCAGGACAACGCCAGGCCACACACATCGATAGTGACTCGCCAGAAGCTCCGGGAGCTTGGTTGGGAGGTTCTTATGCATCCACCTTATTATCCGGACCTGGCACCAAGTGATTACCATCTGTTCCTGTCCATGGCGAACAATTTTGCTGGTGAAAAATTCGCTTCAAGAGAGGCTTGTGAAAATCGACTGTCTCAATTTTTTGCCAATAGGGACGAGAGCTTCTATGAGAGAGGCATAATGAAATTACCTTCAAAATGGCAACAAGTTATCGAACAAAACGGCGCATATTTGACCTAAATCGGATCATTCTAACTATGCTAATTAAAGCCTTCAATTTCATGCAAAAATAATGGATTTCTTTTTATTACACCTGATAAATGAAACTAAAAACAATATTTTTTCGCATATATTTATATAAATCAAAAGACGCAATAAACTTATCTGCCATATAAATATTGGGTTAAGTAAAAAGTTTTGAGCGTTTTCCGCTAGATGGCTTTAATGAAGTCATATCTCACGATGTATATGTCGCATCTGGTCATTCTATACTGCGACTTAAAGGTGACATAACGCTTTAAAAAAAGTTCTTTGACAGTTTTGTGTTTGGTGAAGCCAGTTGTGTGTTAGAGCGTTCCAAAGTGGAGGTAAAAAAGGAGAAAATTCGATACATTCTTCAATACCACTACGACCAAAGGGAAAAAGCGGAGCAGGCGGCCAAAAAAATTTGTGCTGTTTATGGACTCAATATAGTATCGAATGCAACAGCAAAGCGGTGGTTCCAACGATTCCGTTCTGGTAATATGGACGTCGAAGATGAGACACGCTCTGGTAGGCCAATCGTCGAAAATGTCGATAAAATCATGGAAATCGTCGAGTCGGACCGGCATGCGAGCACTTATTTCATTGCCCAGGAACTGAAGATTAGCCAGAAAACCGTTTGGAACCATTTGCATAAGGCTGGTCTCAAGAAGAAGCTCGATGTATGGGTGCCACACGAATTGACGCAAAAGAACCTTTTGGACCGAATTCATACCTGCGATTCTTTGCTGAAGCGTAACGAAATCGACCCATTTTTTAAGTGGATGGTGATTGGCGATGAAAAATGGGTCACATACGAGAACAACAGGCGAAAAAGATCGTGGTCCAAGCGCGGTGAGCCGGTCCAAACGATCGCCAAGCCCAAGGATTAACGGCCAAGAAGGTTTTACTGTGTATGTGGTGGGATTGGAAGAGAATCATCCACTATGAGCTACTCCCATCGGGCCAATCACTCAATTCGGACCTACACTGTCAACAACTGACCAGATTGAAGCAGGCGATCGACGAGAAGAGGCCAGAATTGTCCAATAGGAAGGGTGTTGTGTTCCATCAAGACAATGCCAGGCTGTACACATCTTTGACGACGCGCCAGAAGCTCCGAGAGCTTGGATCAGAGGTTATATCGCACCCGCCGTGTAGCCCAAACCTGGCTCCAAGCCATTATCACCTTTTCAAGCATTTGCAAAATTTTCTTGATGGTACAAAACTGGCCTCAAGAGAGGCTGGTGAAAATGAGCTGGTCAAGTTTTTTACCAATAGGGACGAGGACTTCTTCAATCGCGGAATTATGAAATTGCCTTCAAAATGGACAAAAGTTATGGAACAAAACGACGCATATTTGATCTATTAGGAGCGCAAAAAGTTCTGAGCCCTAGATTTCATACTACTGAAACCACAATTTAAATTGCATTAATTTTCCCGCCCTCTTGCGGTTTTAAAGCAGTGACATTTGGTCTTTCGAAACATCGTGCGATTTGGCATTTGATGCATATAACCTTAAAATCAGCAGTGTTCACGATGGCAATAACAAAAGAGCATATTCGATTTTCCATCCATTTCGCGTTTCATCTGAAGAAAAATGCTGCTGAAGCCACTGAAATGATCTGTGTTGCATATGGAGAGAACGCTGTAAGTTATGCTACGTGTAAAAGGTGGTATCAAAAATTTCGCCAAGGAGATTTCAGTCTTGAAGATGAACCGCGTGCTGGACGCCCTCAAAAGGTTGAAACGGACGAACTGCAAGCATTGTTGGATATAAACTCTGCACAAACTGAAAAGGAGCTTGTAGAGCAACTTGGCGTTACGCGACAAGCCATTTCCACACGTTTACATGCAATGGGAAAAGTTCAAAAGGAAGGCAGATGGGTTCCGCATGCACTGTCCGAAGACAACAAAAATCGACGACATGACACGGCACTCACTTTGCTTTCAAGGTTCCGGAAAAAGGATTTTCTGCACCAAATCATTACAGGTGATGAAAAGTGGATACTTTATGATAATCCGAAGCGTAAAAAATCATGGGTTGACCCTAGTCAACCTTCTACATCGACGCCAAAGACCAATATCCACGCCAAGAAGGTTTTGCTTTGCATATGGTGGAATTGGAAAGGTGTATTGTATTACGAGTTGTTACAGCCGGGTGAAACAGTAACGGCAGATCGCTATCAGCAACAATTGAGCAATTTGAGCGATGCGTTTGAAGAAAGAGACCATTTACTGGCAAAGGACGTCGTAAAGTGATACTGCTTCATGACAATGCCCGACCACATGTTGCGAAAGTGATTCAGGACTATATCTTTGCATTAGGCTGGGAATTTCTCCCGCACGCGGCGTATAGCCCAGACATGGCGCCTTCTGATTACTACCTATTCCGGTCTCTGCAGCATTTCTTGGCTGATACACATTTTGTGACACTTGAAGAGATACGAAAATGCATTGATGACTTTATCGCCTCGAAGCTGGTGAGCTTCTACCATCAGGGAATTCGCAAGCTGCCCGAAAGATGGCAAAAGGTCATCGATGCAAACGGGGAATATTTCGTTGATTAATATAGTTTTGTTTGTTTTTAAATAAATTTTAAATTTTGCAAAAAAGGCTCAGAACTTTTTTGCGCTCCTAATAAATCCGATAATCCTAACTTTGTTAATTTCATCGTCGAAATAAAGAGAAAATACGCTCAGAACTTTTTACTTTACCCAATATTTCCAAAACTCAACATCTAATCTAATCGTCAGCATAACCTTTAGTTGTTGACGCACAACATTTAATATTGAACCTTTGCAACTTGGATGATGTACAGGGTTTTTCAATTGGTGCGAGTCGATGTTGGCAGCCTGTGGCGGCCATGTTGTTTTGGCGGCGTCTGTCTAACCTGTTGTTTATTATTCAGTCACTGATGCAAAATCACCATGACAAGTTACACGATTGAGCAGCACGTCCAAATGATAAAACTTTATTATCAAAATGAGTGTTCGTTAGTGCAAACGTTGCGCGCGTTGCGCCCATTTTACGGCAGACGCGGTGGCCCTTCAAAGTCGACTCTCCAACGTTTGGTGGCCAAATTCGAGACGACCGGTCCGGTAAACGATCAGCCAACACCCGTACGTCAAAGGTACGCCAGATCGGCCGAGAACATCGCCGCTGTAAGTGAAAGTGTGCAGGAGAACCTGAGGCAGTCAATTCCTCGCCGTGCACAAGAACTCGGCCTTTCGCAGACTTCAATTTGGCGAATTTTGCGTCAGGACTTGGGCCTGCACCCGTACAAGATCCAACTGACCCAGGAGCTCAAAGTTAATGACCATAGACAACGCCGTTTGTTCGCTGACTGGGCTTCGGAGCATTTGGAAGAGGACCTCAATTTTGGCCGAAAAATCATCTTTAGCGACGAGGCGCATTTTTGGATGAATGTCTATGTTAACAAGCATAATTACCGTATATGGAACAACGCCAACCCACACGAGGTTCAACAGGTAGCAATGCATCCACAAAAAGTTACTGTTTGGTGCGGATTTTGGGCCGGCGGCGTCATTGGTCCGTACTTTTTCGAAAACGACTTTAGTGAGGCCATCACCGTCAATGGCGAGCGCTACACAACGGTGATAACCAATTTCTTTTGGCCCAAATTGAACGATATGGACGTGGACGACATGTGGTTCCAGTAGGACGGCGCTACGTGCCACACAGCGGACGCCACGATGGACATTCTGCATGAACGATTTGAGGGTATGGTTATCTCTCGCAGAGGTGACGTGAATTGGCCACCAAGATCGTGTGATTTGACCCCGCTAGACTTTTTCTTGTAGAGTTTTCTGAAGTCGCAGGTCTATGCCAATAAGTCGCAATCGACCAATGCCACCAAAGTCAACATAACCCAGGCCATCGCTCAAATTCAGCCGGATCTATGCGGCAGAATCATTAAAAATTGGACCACTCGGATTCGTGCCATCGTGAGAAGCCGCGGCGGACATTTGAACGATGTTTTATTCCACACATAATGGCATGTATGGGCCTTTCAAATAAAAAAAGAATTTCGTTAATACCTCACACACAGCTTGTTTTATTCCATTGCAACATCGACCCGCCCTTATTGAAAAACCTTTTATAATAACAAGTCTGTTCACAGTTTCCGCTATCTTCCCGATTTCGGAAACGGCAATTCCTCTTACTATATTTTGCATCTAGTCTCCTCACAATTAAAAAAGATTTTACGTTCTTCAGCATTCATATACTGTTTCATATTTATCCTTAAACGTTAATTTACCGTTCTATCGCTGTTTCACAAGTTGTAGCAAGACGTATGAATTATCTAGTGCTGTATGATTATTGGTGTTCATATAGTATACTACATGTAGAACAGATAAGTAAGCAATATTGAAGTAATATTTGTTTTTTAAGAGTACCATTTGAATCCTACTAAGATTATTATCTCACATATAAGGTAAGTTTTTGTCAACATACAGAGAATGAAATTTATCCGTAACATCCTTATCTCTTGGCACACACGTTATTTTTATATAAGCAAATTAATATCTGCTCTTGTTTATATCTTCTTTAATACGTTACAATGTCATTAGAATTAAGTTCTTCTCATCTTGCAGTATGGGAAAATATCAATTCGATAACAAGACGCAGTTATCGAGTACTTTAAAAGCGTAATTTAAAAGCATCTACCTACAGCGCGGCGTCTAAAGCTCTGTGTAATCTCTATCTCTAAAAAATATAATCGCCTCCAGTTTCTAGGGAGTTTCTATTGTTATATATGGATGAATTTAATATACGATGCTCTTTATTTTTACCCTAACAACTTAAAAATTTTTGAAAACGAGAAGAGGAAGGGATTTCAAATTTTTCAATTTTGCAAAATCTGAATACACAGTTGCATAGAATATGAAATATACTACAACTTTCATATAAACCATTTTTGCATATGTACTCGTACTATAGAAATGTAAAGATATACGTTAAAAATGTAAATGGTTTTTTTCTTCGAAGAGTGGTTTCACCCCTTGAGCTTGGCATTTCGCATGAACAAAAAAAGTTTTACATTATGGATGAACTACTTTACTTTCACATAAAGTTTCAGAACTTTTTGAATTTCCACGTTCCCTAACCTTCCTTGTAAATAAACTAAAAACTAAAAGGATAACGCTTAACGATCTGATAGGACGATCAGACGAGGAAAATTGGTCAAACGAACCTAAATCAAGATTTATAGTGTGTTAAGTAAGAGCGTGTACGGCATTACTCGTAGTCGGTAAGTTATACAAACCTAAATTTTTTTATCAGGTTCAGGGAACCTCCGCCTTTGGCGCTTTGATGAAAAAATTTCAGTCTATGTCGATCTTTTGTCAGAGAAACACAGAAACCGCGATGAGTGATGTGTACGCGAAACGTTTCGAAACCGTGTTTCTTTGCATACACCCAAAAGGGCCAAAAATGTCTTATGCAGTGGCGGCCATGTACATTAAAAAGTCGAAGGCGTTTGTTGAGAAGTGGGTGAATCGATTTAAAGAGTCGAAAAATGTTAACGACCTTCCAGATCGTGGTTCAATAGGGAAAGTGACCAAAAAGAATGAAAAACAGATTGTGACATTGTTTTCGCGGAATCCTGGCTTGTCCTTGCATCAAGGGCAAGCGAAATTGAAGCAAAAAAGGATTGGACGTATCGTACGTTACTGTTCATAAACATTTGTGTGCAAATAATTTGAAATGGCGGAGTACATTGAAGAAACCACTGCTGTCCGAAAAACACGCTGCCAAACGACTCGCCTGGGCCCAGGAAAACATTGATCGTAACTGGAGTAATATAGTTTTTTCTGATGAAGCTTCTGTTTGGGGTTTTGTAATTATTCTATGGGCATGGTGTTCCTCTCCATACCAGTTCGTCCAGCGCACCGTTAAACATCCAATCAAAGTGCATCTTTGGGGCTGCTTCTCAAAGAAGGGTTTTGGCGTTTTGTACTTCTTTATCGACAACCTCAATGCACCCAAGATGGTCCAAATTTACAAGAAAGCTTTGTTACTGACTGCCGAACGTCAATTCATCACAAAAGACGAAGAATGGATCTTGCAGGAGGACAATGATCCCAAACACCGGAGTCGACTCTGCACTGACTGGAAACAGGAAAATGGCATCATCACACTTGATTGGCCTTCACAATCGCCTGATGCTAATCCTATCGAAAATGTCTGGGCCTACATCAAGCAGAAACTTCGAGGAAAACGTGTCTTCACTTTGAAGCAGCTTTCCCGAGAAATTCGATGCATTTGGAAGGCACTTCCTCTCGAATACGCCGAAAATTTGGTGGATAGTATGCCTCGGAGATATCAAACGATTATCGATGCCGATGA